TGTCAAGAATCAACTGAAATTGTACTTCTACCGGGTAACGAGCCAGAAATTCCCACATAACTGAATATTCTATGCCACTGGCCCCAAATCCGACATTTCCAAAACTCCTGTCCCATAACAATCCTAGCACATACTAGGAACTGCATGCATTATTCTTTTCGTTAAGGTACTAGGAACTGCTTAAATAAACTTTTTTTTCTAAGATAATATGTATATATAGATTAAATAATCTTTTTTCTTTCTAAGATAAAGTGTATATATAGAGTATGCCTTGACCGCTTAAAAATAATGTGAAGTAAAAATTAATTTAGAACAGGAAGTAAACCCTTGTAATAATTCTATAATCTTACAAATATAATTCAGAACTCGCATTTACCTTACAAAACTACGATTGTTTCAAAATATGTCCCATAAAACGGAATGGACAGAGTATTGAACAACTATAATAAAAAGCGTCTTGAGGACATAATTCGTATACAGAAAGCATATATTTACCAACATACTAACATAAACCTTGGCCTATCCACCGTTTAGATCGAGCAAAATTCCACACTACCTCCAGTTATACAAGCAAACAGAAATACACTACATAAATACATTTCATTCCCTAGATATAAGTTTTAACTTCTAGCAATTATAGTTGAAGCTGCATTCAGCCATCGAATTTCACATGTTTGTTCATTACTACCCTTCCTTCAAAATTTTATCTATTTGTTTTTGAACCTAGCTCATTAGTGAAAGAACTGTGTAGCAGTGCCAAAAGTTAGTCATCATATGGTGAACTGAAGAATCCATAGTGAAGTCAATGTGACTTCATATCTGGTCTAGGCAAAGAAGGCTAAAATCTTAAGTCAATCTCCTTACCTCTTAACAGATCAACATTTAGAGCACTAATTTTGCAGGACTTAGAAATCGAGGCATAGTTGATTGACTGAACTATGACGAGAGGAGTTTAAAATGATCCCTTATGTTCTGAAAATTTAAAATTAAGGGCCGATAGAAAAGAAACGCAAGTTCAGAGATACTCAAAATAACAAAGACAGAGATTACTTACTTCAAGCAAAGCACGTATAGCTAGTTTCACAGTTTCCTGGCCAGATGTTTCTTTGTAGTTCTTCTCCAAAAACTCCCGAAGAGAGTTGGAGTTTCTACCAGTCGCATTGGCTTTCCAAGCTGAGAATGTACCCGATGGATCTGTTTGATACAGCGCGGGCACACCGGTGTATGGGTCGAAACCAATGATCAAGGTAGATAGGCCAAATGGCCTTACACCACCACTTTGAGTGTACTTTTGCTGAAGACCAGCAATGTAACGAGTTATGTACTCAACAGTAACAGGATCCTCAACAGTAAGCCTATGACTCTGACATTCAATGCGTGCCCTGTTTACAAGAACTCGTGCATCTGCTTTCAGCCCAGCACAGGCCAATGCAATGTGATCATCCAGATTTACTATCTTTCTTGCTGACCTGCAAAAAGAGAGAGAGAAAAAAAGAGATTAATTAGCTTAGGATTTCAAAGCAGGCAGAAAACTAAATTAAATGCAAGAGGAATATCTATCAATGAGAACACAAGACCAAGGAAATAAAGAGAACTAGGTGTTATGTATTTAACAGCACACATCACCTAATAAGCAATAAACAGAGTAAATAATTCAGCAAATTATACATACAACAGATATGGAAATAAGTGCTCAAACACCTCTCTTTCAACCACAAGAGAGGAGACACCCTTTTCTGCTACTTTTTATTAACTTCATGGAAGATGTCACTTTGAGACAATCCACTTAGTGACAGCTCCTTATTTGACCAAAATAAAGTCTTTACTCTCCTCGATGGGCCTTAATTCTCTACTATTGTATGGGTTGTTTCGCCACTCTCCCTATCCCCAATCCAACGTTGTGGGATGCTGATATCAATAACAATGCAAGTATATTTTAACCAACAAGCCCTTCATAAATAGAGGTGGATTCAGGAGTTGAAGTTTATGGGTTCCTAAAAAAACCTCAAGTTAATATACAGTAGTAACTAGGTTCCCAGTCATATAGATATTTTGTGGGTTTCATAGTATATATTCAGGGTTTCGGCAAAAGTTACTGGTTCCGGTGGCCATATTTGTACTCTAGTTCCGCCTTTGAATTCATAAACTCTATCATTTCCCAACAGCAATCTGTACATTACATTACACACCATTAAGTTCAGTAATTAAAACAGTCAGCTAAACCACTTGCAACCTCCAAATACTGAACCTTCCATTGAGAAACTAAAAAATGATAATCTTTCTCCTTCCAGTTGCACTACCCAGAAACCAAAAGTTTAACAACAAACGGGCACTCTCTTAACGACTACATGTGCACACCCATAAAAAATGATAAAAGAAGTAATAAAAGTAAGAGGTCAAAACCCAGATAATCATTAAACCCTAAATCTCGCAGAATTACAGAGTAAACCTTAAAATTACATTTTTTGATAAGTAAACCTAAAGATTGCATTTTTAGATCTTCAAACCAAATAAATTGCAAAAAAAAAATAAAAAAAATATACCTAGAGTCCTGAAGCTTGGGAGTAGACTTCTTCTCAACGCCAAGGACAACAGTGTCAGTGCCACGTACACCAACGGCGGCGTTACCTTTGCGTACGGCTTCGAGGGCGTATTCCACTTGGAATAGGTGGCCGTCCGGCGAGAACACCGTGATCGCTCTATCATATCTAGCCATGGCTATAAGTAAAAGCTATCGGAAACTTTGGGCTCTGTGTGTTGAAGTTTCTTCCGATCTCTGAGTGTTGCTACTGAATGCTCTTTCCTTCAAATTATTTGGTATTGCCTCACTGATAAAAAGCAATACACACTTCTTGGGCGACAAGCTAATTGAATCAGACGTCAAACTTGGCACGACGTCGTAGCAACCACCATGTTTTTTTCTTTTTTGTTTAGTTCACTTTAATATTATTAGAATATCATTTTTACTTTTTTACCTCTAGTTCTTTTGGGTAAAGAAGTTATTATCGAGTTCGAACTTTGAGAATAAGAGAAATCTTAAGCAGAAATAATTTTTTTTAAAATAGATCTTATGCCAATCGAACGTAAATTAGTAGGGATAGCAAACACCAGATATTATTTGACATAAGAATTTTTTTTCTTTTTTTTCAAAAAAAAATTATTTTTTTTCGAAATCAGCATTTGTTCATAAAATTTTCAGTTTTCACTTAAAAATATATTTTAGAATTTTTCGAAAATTTAAAAAAATCCAAAAAATTATTTTTCAAAATTTTCACTCAGATCGCTCACAAAACTTCAAAAACAACCCAAAATTATATTCATGTCCAAACACAACTCTAATTTTCAAATACCATTTCACTTAAAAGAAAAATTCACTTTTTTAAAAAAAAAAAATTTACAATTCTTATGTCCAAACACTCACTAAATGATTATGTAAAAAAAGGGTAAAGAAGCCGCCCTATATTGAAAAAAAAAATTAGCTTGCTTTAGAAAAGGATATATAAATTGATTATTCATAGTCAAATAGGTCTTCATTAATCAGAGATTTGATTCAAACTGATTTCTAACACCATCATTTGAGAAGAGGCAGGATATTATGATTTATTCTAGTACGGTTAGGAACATAATTAAGTACATAAAAATATATTTTCTCAAATATATATGATCATACATTTGACATGAAACCAAAGCACACATAAATTTTTGGGGTTACTTCTCTCTACCATACATTATTAAAAAAGAATTTCTACATACTCAACAGTCAACTGGTAAAACTAAAGATGCTATTGATATCGTATACATCTGTGTTTCTATTTAGACATCTAAGACGTGAATTTGACTATACATTGAGGAAAAATAGATTTCGGATGCAAGTATAAAGAAAGAACAAAATGGTAATATATCAGGATTCAGCAGCGCAAATTTTCATTTTCATTTTAGTGGAAGCACGGCTTTGCGCTATAGTTAGCTCATCGCCATCAAAAGAATCCCATAGAAAGAATTTTTGTCATAAATTTGTCCCAAGGATCTATCGGAAACAACTTCTTTGCTCTTTTAGGGTAGGAGTAAGATTACGTACATTTTACCCTCTCTAGACCCCACTTGTGAGAAATGACTGAACTTATTATTGTTGTTGTTGGTTGTCATAAATTTGTCCCAACCCTCGACACTCTTTTATAAATTCATGAATATTGAATCAATCAAACGCACTTCTAACATAGCCGCGACAGCAACAAGTTCTGTGCTCCTGGCCCCTAGGGGATAAAGTGACAGAATTTTTTTGAGAATACAAGAGAAAAGTCACCGCAAGATTTCCAATTTCCCATTCCTGGCAAGACAAATCCATAAAACTCTTGAAGACTGAACCTTTCTGTGGCAGACTCTGGTGTCATCAAACATTGTTATTTTGCGTTATAATATCCCTATAGTTTGAAGATCCATATTTGCTATAGTAGCATGCCTATGCCTTATCTTCAACGACATTGTGGGATTAATAGGAGCATTAGGATTTTCGGCACTAACCTATAGGGCAGAACTAAAACATTCACTCAGACAATTATTTCCAACTAAAGGAATATCAGTATTTTTACATTTTAAAATATATATTATCCATGCAAAAGAAGATTGGGAGATGGACAAACCAATGGTTTTGTAGCAGGTATAGGTATTTTTAATCATAGAGATGCCACCTATCTAAATATATCAAGGATACGCTGTTAAAGGAAAAAGACATGGGAGTATAATAATGGACTAGAATAATGGCACAACCTAATATCCTTCTTAAGATAGGAATTTCTGAAAAAGAACATCATATTCTTGACAACAACAAGAATAACGACCGAGTAAAATCTCACAAGTGGGTTCCGGAAAGATAGTGTGTACGCAGACCTTATCTACCCCGAAGGGGTAGAGAGACTGTTTTCGATAGACTCTCGGCTCAAGGAGACAAAACATCATATTCTTGAGAGGAATAAATTTATTTCAAGAAAGCTCCTACAGAGTAAAACACAACAGAAAACTGATACTACTTCATTCATGCAAATTCAAACTTCAGATATATATTACATCCTTAATTCACTTAAAGTATCTCTCATGCAAAGACAAATTCTAAACTGATATAGTAATAGATAATACAAGTATCACTCTCTTAAGAAAATTGAGGAAGTTAGCAGCAGTTAAGAGAATGGGAGATGGAACATTGATGTCGACATATCACTTCTGCTTGCTCTTCATCTTAGCAAGATTAGCTTGAGCAGCAGCTTTTGCAACTGTTGTAGGTTTCACTGCACTCTTTGGATTGAGAGCTTTTCTTATCTTAAACACAGCCCAAGCAGTTCCTATAGCATGTCCTGCAGCACCGAATCCGTCACGTGTCATCTCTGCAGCCTGGTCACCATGCCTGTAACAAGATAAGTTCCACCATTAAGCATCTACTGATCCAAGAAAGAACCATACCTTTTGAGGTTTATTGCTATGTGAGACAAAAGAACCCTGCTAGAAAGTGAATCTTATCATCATCCAATTTAACTCTTTTAGTGTGAACATGGNGGGTGGACGGCTATTTAGGTAAACTCTTCTAAAAAAAAAAAGCACTTGGGTGAAGATCTAGAACATCACTCAAGTAAATACAGAGTAGGATACTCTTGTAACACAAGTTTGCGCATAACCTCCACATTTAGGAATACAAATCAACAAAACAAAGAGTAACTCCGCCTCACAATTAGGTTAATAAGGGAAGTACCAACATACGAAATGGTGTTGAGTGCAAAAGCAAAATATACCTCTGTTGAACAAGCCCAGTTGTCACAGTTGAGGTTGTTGACATCACATTCTTTCCAGCGACTTCAACAGCATCGCAAACTTTATCTGTTATAATGTAGCAGAACCAATAATATCAGGAGTCTAGAAAGAAAATAATACAGTTTATGTGCTTCTTAAGAAAATGCTTAACTAATTAAAAAAGAGAGAGAGATCGAATAGAAATACATACTGAATCCATCCAAGGAGGCAAGAACAATCTCTCCAGGAAGAAGGCTAAAGAATTTCTGACCAGCTTTAGAGTTTGCAATGGAACTTGTAAAGAATCCAGAAACCTTCACTACTCCTGAGAGTAAGCCAGTTGCCACTTGCTCCGACATTTTTGTCATCTTCTTCACCCTAAAAGGAACAAAATCAAAATATGCATAAAAATAAGGCAAGAAAGCTCTTGCAATGTGTCACTAGAACAAACTTAGCAAAGCAACACGAAAAATTGATCAAGAGAGTAAAATGCATTACAAGTCTATAACAACTACTATGCCTGAGTTCCAAATTAGATGAGCTAAGCTATGTCAATCCTCACTATTCATCCAACTCCATTTGAACAGAACTTGTCAATTTCAGTTGATCTCGGTCTTTTATCAACAGTATCCCCTTTTTGTTCAAATTCTTGGTATTCATTCGGCAGAAAGGTAGCATAACTCCTATTTATTACCTCTCCTTAAAACTTTCTAGTGAAACATTTTTGTGATAAAAGGTGATTTTTTTTAATTGTTCCTCGATATGGTCCATTTGACATGATAAACACGAAATTGGAAGATTTTTAAATTGTTCATTTATAAATTTCCCCCAAAGCCAATGATAGGTTCATTTCTATATCGAAACAATAAGGTTATTATGCTCATTACTAAACTTGTTGAAGACATGAAATATAACCAAGTTCGGTTCAAATCAATGCTCATTAAAGAGTAAAATTCAACAGAGAAATGCAAAAAAGACTACCTTTTCATCCTTCTCATAGCCTCAGGGCTAATCTCAGAGTTACTCCCCTTTCCCATCCTCTTCATCAACACATCATTTCCCCAATTCAGCCTATCTACAGTAACATCACCACACCACAATATCCCCTTCACCAATTGACCCGACCCGGCTGCAATCATTCTTGCAATACTACTACTATAATCTTCAACATTCGGAGCCAAAGTAGTCCAATAAGCAGCAGAACTCCTCTCCATATCCTCTTTTTTCTTCTCCATTTCTTCTGGTGAAACATCCTTTGCTGACATCCACCATTTTTCTTCAACTCCTTTATTATCCTTCTTCACTTTCTCCACTCTAAAAGCACTGTACTTTTCCAATACTAAATCCAACTCCTTTAGTACCCTTTCTTGTCCTTTTGATGCTATAGTTAACCCATAGTTGAGTAAATTATCTTCATCATTTGCTTCAGAAGGTGTTCTAAGAGTGAAGAAATAGTGAGATTCATCAAGTTTTACAGCAGCCTCATCTTTGGCTAAAGGCCATTGGATTTGATCACCGACACGTGCAAGAACAGCAACAACGTTGTCACCTTGTTTAAGTTGAACAATTTCGAATTCACCACTAGCGAGTTCAATACTACGTTCTTTGTCAATCAGATGGATTATTGTACCTGGGATTTTGACAATCACTTGTTCTAACGAAACAAAGTTGGAATTATTATCAGGCTGATTGGTTTCAGTTTCTGGAAATAGATTTTCTGCTAGATCTTTCATGTCAATAGTGGGGTGCAAAGAAGAATTAGAAGAAGTTGAGGGATTCTTTTGGGAAAGAAATGGAGAAGTTGATTCTGGGTTTGAATCAATGACTTGTGGGTATAGTTTTGGGGGATTTGAATTTTGAGAAGACATAGTAGTTTTTTTGGATTCTTGATTTCCCAGTTTGGAAACACAGAAAGGAATGAAATTTGTGGAAAATCTGAGATGGGGTTTGAAGATTTCTAAGTATTAGCTTAAAAAGGAATGAACTTTATAAAAATTTGAGATTGGTTTCGAAGATTTATGCAAGATTTAACTTAAGGTATAAGAAAATGGAAAAAAGGCGGTTCTAAGGTTGAAGACGAGTTGACGTGGCATGCGACGTGGCTTTATATGTAAAGCCAGTGTGGAAGCCGTGGAGATTCTTAGCCTTTTTTTGTGGTAAGAATTAAGGAATAATTTTTTCCGCCGTGTTCTGTACTGTAAAGCAAATGTCACTTGAGGACGTTAAGTTAACTGAGGTTTGACTAAAACACCCTTTTCTTTTCTTTTTTGCTAAAGAATATTTACTGATGTTTCTTGATTCAGTTAAAAAATATTCCCGGGTAATTAAAAGGATTATTCCATTATGCAGAAGTGAGTGTTTCTGTTCTGCTAGGAAGTATGATTTATATGAATCGTCAAGAATCCTAAGTGAGTATATGAAAATGGGAAGAGTTAAACATGCAGATAATCTGTTTGAGAAAATGCCTGAGAAGAATGTAGTTATTTGGTCAATCATGGTCCATGGTTATTCTAAAAATGGGCTACACAAAAAATCAGTTGAATGCTTCATCTCAATGAGAAATATTGGTTTAATGCCAAATTCATTCACCATTGTAGGTATTCTTGTGGGGGTCTCAGAATTGAGGGACTTAATACTTGGTCAATCAGTTCATGGACTGATAGTGAAGTTAGGGTGGGAAGATTATTCATTTGTTGGCACTTCCCTTCTTGAGGTTTATGCAAAATGTGGAAATATCATTGACTGTAGTAAGATCTTTGAGAACTTAAAAGGTCAAGGTCTTGTTCCATGGAATGCAATGATCAGTGCATTTGTACATAATGAACTCTATGAAGAGGCTTTCTTGTTATGCAATAGGTCTCGGAAGTCTGGTTTATTTCCTGATTCAATGACAGCATTGGCATTGATACAGAGCTGTGTGGCTATGGAATCTAAATGTCTTTGTGAATCGGTTCATGCTATGGTTTTAAAATTTGGTCTTGTATCTCATGTACAGGTGAATAACTCACTTCTTTTTCTGTACTCAAGTTTGATGGAGTTACCTGCTGTTTGGGAAATTTTCAATCCAATGGAAGAGAAAGATGTTATCAGTTGGTCAACAGTGATGAGTTTACTGGTTCACCTTGAATATGCTTCGGACGCTATAAAGCTTTTCTTCCATATGAGAGATTCAGGGAATGAGTATGACAAGCTCGTCCTAATGAATCTGATTTCAGCTTGTGGAACTTTAGGGAACTTGAAGATGGGAAAATCTGTCCATGCTCAAGTAATAACTCATGGTTTTGGATCAGATCTTCCTCTACTTAATACAATGATTACTATGTATGCAAGATGTGAGGACTTGAATTCTTCAAAAACTGTTTTCTATCGATCAACTATGAAGAGTATGGTATCATGGACATCTATCATTTCAGGACTTCTCCATAATGGAAGGCCGAGAGAGGCACTAGATATGTTCGTTCGCGTTAGAATTGAAGAAAACATAATCACTGATTCGGTAGTTCTGGTGAGTGCACTAGCTGCTGGTGGTGAAATGGTTGATTTGGAACTCTGCATGCAGCTTCATTGCCATACTATAAAAGCTGGGCTTACAAATTATACAAGTATTCAGAACTGTCTCATATCAACCTACTCAAAGTGTGGGGATGTTGAACCTGCAAACAATGTTTTCGTGCAAATGGCATCTTTTCGCGATATTGTATCATGGAATGCTATTATAAACGGATATGGTATCAATGGCCACGGAGAAACTGCTCTCTCCCTTTTCTATGAGTTCAAAAAGACGGGAGGAATACCTGATATTGCTACTTACTTGATCATTTTGAGTGCTTGTAGTCATTCAGGATTGGTTAGCGAAGGGTTGTTGATTTTCAGCCAAATAATAGAAGAAAATAGAATCAGAGTTGGTGCAGAACATTATAGCTGTGTAGCTAATTTGCTTGCCCGGGCAGGGTATTTACCTGATGTAAGTAAGTTCAAGGATGGAGAAGGTAAGGCTATTTGGAGGGCTATATTAAACGGATGCGTGCATAATGGTGATCTAAGATTAGCAGAATTTGCCGCGAAAAAGTTTGATGAGCTGATTCAAAAAGATTCTGGTCAGCTTGTGTTACTCTCAAATCTTTATGCATCGGTTGGGAGATTTCAGGATGCAGAAGCCTTGAGGTTGAGCATGGAGACTGAGAAACTGATTAAAGATCCAGGATTCAGCATTCTCACTGGAAATCTATAGCACGTTGGTCGAATCCAAATCAGGTCATCTCAATTCTCATGAATGAATAAACTTATGCAACTTCAGATCATGAGGAGCTGTTGTAACCAGCTTTCAGAGGCAAAAAGGATTAAACTTTGATAGCAAATCTGTTCAAAGAGTGATGCTTTCCAAAGAGAATAATAGGGTAAACAAAAAAGGACAACAAGCACATCAAAAATCTGAACTATGAATTCCTAAAAAATCAAAATTGAGAGATAGGAAAACAAAAAACATCAATAATATCCAAATAAAAACAGGTGATGCAAGATTTGCTTCAAAACAAAGTCTTTAAGGCACAGCCTGCTGAATACTTCAAAATTGAAAGAATCTGTTATCAGTAAAGCTCTCAACAACACTAATTATTCTTATGCTCTTATTTGCTTCTCTTACTCTTTGCCTTAAGTGACCCATCTTTCAGCTTTTTCCCAAGCTTAGTACTCTTGTTCTTCTTTCCATCTTTCAAAGACAACTTACTTTTGTTTTGTTGCTCAGCTTTTCTCAGCTTCTTCGCCTTCTTCTCACCATTCGACGCACTAAAAAATATACTACCCTTCTCAGTTTTCCCCTTTTTTACTTTCTTAACTCCATAATCCTCACTCTCCTCAATGTCTTCATCACTGCTTTCCTCTTCTGCATTACTACCAACGACATCACAATCACTTCCCAATTCATCTACTACACCAGTGTCAAAGTCCATATACCTAACTTCATGAATCCTCCCTTTAGTCTTCCCGTTCTTTTTATCCGTCCCCTCGACTTTCCTGCTACTAGTCTCCTTAACCTCAACCAAACCACCAATCACTTTTCCATCACTCTCCTCAGCAACTTCTTTCACCTTAAACCCCTGAATCTTGAGTTTGATCTCGGGCAACGCTTGATACAAAGGCAATGCTAAAGAATCACTAAGTCTCAAATGCAAGCTTCTCACACCACCCCATTTCTTAGGCACCACTTCAACAACACCCTTTATTGCTTCCTCCACATTCTCAACAATTAATGCACTTTCCATTGAAACCTTACCAACCTTCATTACACAAAAAGTTCCAGTCTTTAAGTAAAACAACCCACACCCACAAGCTCTTTCCACTTGCTCTTTCCAATTCTTGTGCGTCAAATCCAAAGGTAAAGGCAGCTTCTTTTTCTTGAAAAATTGCTTACCAAGTAGCTTAGGAAGCAAATGAACAATCCTTCTGTCAACCAACAAAAGATCATATGAATCACAAAGTTTTCTTTACGCTTCAAAGGGCTTGTAGTTAGACTTAAGCTTTGAAATTTTGATGACTTTAGTAATAGGTATGTTTTGGGATTTAATGATCTTTTTTGCATCATCTGAAGTGAGTTTTGAATTGGGTCTGTCATCAATGATGAGGCAAAGCTCAGAGGAAAAAGGGTCGTGAATAGGGTGAGGAAAAGGGATTTTGAAAGCAACGTACGAGGTTTTGGTGGGATTTTCTTGAGAGTGAGGTTAAGGTAGATGAAGTCATCTTGTGGGAGTAATTGGGGTTTTTGGATTTTTGATTTGGAATTTTTCCATTTGAGAAGGGCGTCTACTGCCTTCTCTATGGTGGCGCGGCTCACTGTGGCGGCGGCGGTGGCGGCGGAGGAGGGTGGAGGAGACTCCATTGGGATTTTTTGAGGTTGAGGCTGAAGAAACTACAAAACCCCGGCTAAAACCCCGTTGTGCTATATGAACAAGAAGTAGGAAAATGATATGGACGTACCCTATACTTTTCAAATTTGCAAAGACCACCCCAAAGAACCTCTTTTTATTTTGGTGTGTGTGTGGTTGTTTTGACTTTTGAATTAATTAATGTTACTTACAATATTAACCGTCTAATATAAATACACAATAGGATTATGGATTGTAATTTGATCTCTACGACGAGGACAAAGACTTCCGTCAAATTTAATATTCATCTTGTGATATTAAATGGTTCACTAATCTATCATTGCACATAGTTGTAGTTGAAAATTGAATTGGACTTATAAGTAGTTCAACTCTTCACTTTGATATGATTTCCAATTTATAATCAGACGATTAACATGGAGATTGAGGCTCTACTTCTCCTCTATAGGTTCCGAGACTTGCTCAATGAAGCATCATGGTTAAATGAATTCTGGATTAAGCTTCTGTGTGGAAAACGGACACCGCCATTGGCCAATTTAAAGTTTAAGATAGCTATAAATAAGTGCGATAAAGAAAACGAGTAAAAAGTCTAAAAACACTAAAGACTAAATGAATGATAGTAATTGGATGAAATTGCATTTGATCGATTGATTGTTTGTTAATCGAATTTCGCTAGAGCACGGTGTGGTTTGGAGAGAAAAAGTACAAATAACATCAAGTTGAAACAAATATGAAGCAACACCAGGATTCTAAATCCATGAAGTAGAGACAACAACGATGCTATAATTTCCTCATCTTCTCTTATTCAAGCAAAGAATTCCAAAGGAAGCTCTTTTCTGGGTATACATTAGTTAGGACTGACTTCAATCTGCTCGTTTCCACCTTTTGAATATCAATTGCCAGAGTCATCGATAGTTGCTGATAACAAACAAATAAAATCAACTGCGTGAAAAGCTTAGAAATTACTGGAAACTTGAAACTAATATGAAGAAGCATAATACCTTTTTGAGCCACATCATATAAGTTGCAGCAAAGGTTGCTTGAGCTTGATAGTCCTCAAAGTCACTATCATATACATTTGTGCAGGAACGGAATAGTTCTAATTCATTATCTATAAGTATGTCAATGTCAACTGTCCTAATGTTTCTCTGGTTAGAAGACAAGGATCTATCATCATCACCGCATGCAAAATATCTTATCCAGCATGTCAAGAGGAAACGGCGATGAAGCCACAATGCCTGACAGGAAAACAATAACATGAGACGGGTTTCTTTCAAGCTTTCAAGCTTGTCAGAATTCAGAATATCTTCATGAAGCAAATTAAAGAAAATCGAGATACAGATAACAGATAAAGCACTTAGGACAGATGCAATCAAATTTTGTGCATGGAACTGATCATATTTTTTACATTGAGGCATCAGATTTGGGAATCTATAACAAAACATCAACATGAACATTCTATTGATCTCATTAAGGAGTATTATAGATGAAACAGAAGACGATTCAAATGAAGATAATCTCCATAAATTTCCAAGAGATGTGTGTATATCCACTCCAACACCTTACTGTCAAATTAGACGTTTCACTTACTTTTGTAAACCTACATAACTTAGTGTGCAACATTAGATGATTGACAGGAATGCCACGACTCTACATGCACCAAAGAACTGTCTGCCAAGACTTCAGGAAACTTTCAAACATCACTAAGTCATATAACCAAAAAAATTGTTATTGTGAAAACCAGTGTGATATACATACCTCTCTCCCCACATAACGTTTTATCAGCTTCTCCACCCAGTTGAACTCATCCTACCAGCAGACATTGAACCCAAAAAGAAAAAAATTAGCAAATTGCAAGACGCGGCTTCGTATTTGTCACTAGATGATTTACTGTTTTCAGAACCAACAAGAATGAAAAGTAACACATTTTCAATCCAGATATTACTTCAGGATTTTGGCATTTAACACTAAAAGCTTCAGAACTAGTTGAGCATTTTACTAGAACTTCCCCACCTCCACATCAGGAACTTTAATTTTCGATCCTTTTTTTCACACTGATCATTCCTGCAACACCGTAATGCAGTTTACTAGATAAAGGCATTTTAGTGGAACTCATAGTTGGCTAATTAAGGTTGAGCCTCTGTGATTTTCTGAGGAGATTATTATGAAATTTTTTAGTGAAAAGCATGTAGTTTTCAAGGCTTCTCCTATAAGCATCTTCTGAGTTCATTGTTAAAATAGAATCTTTACACAAATGACAAATGCCATTCTTTTTTAAATTATTATAATTATATATAGGGTGTAGGAGAAGGGGAAATGGGGGAGGGGATTACATGGTGGAGAATCGAACCCTCACCAACAAGGTGAAAGTTCAAGTAACCAACCAACTGAACTACTAAGATTCCCCGACAAATGCCATTCAATTTTGAGGAAACAACCACATGAGCAAAAGCATACCTTCAACAATTCATGAAGTTCTGGATGAAAGCTAGCATCTCGACCCTTGTTATGCTGTGATTCTTCAAACAGACGAAGCATCAACCGCTGTGTAGACCAATGTACCAAAATAAACAACATTATACCTCCATGCCTTCCTCTATTTGAACTTTGAATGGAACAAGCAGTTTCAGAAACCGTTATATATTTTATGGGACTAGGTTTGATAGGTTCTTTCAGTGTTACCAAGCAAAAGAGACAAGCAAATCAAGATTCTGATGGAAAAAATTCTAACATATATTACAAATGGACATCAGTAAAGCTTTTCACCCTCTATAAGCAAAGGGCAATTACACGATTAGTTCACAACCAGCCAGCAGCATTTGCCAAAAGCTAAGACGAAAATAATAGCTCCGTGATGGAAACTCACCGCACGGTAATGAAAGCAAGAATTATCAGCAACATGGAGCACAGCCCAGTGCCGTGACTTGTCAAACTCCTGCAGCACCTGGATGCATGAATTGAAATCCATTTGTTAAGAATTATATATACCATAATGTATATATAATAATTCAAAGAGATGAGTGCCGCGGAGATGATTGGTTGGGGCTTAAGAAAATGAGCCCATCTTCAATGGAAGATCAGGAATATGTAAGACACTTTATCACAAATCTATAAGAGACTATGACCACTGACAAAACTTTGCCTTCTCTGCATAGCCAGTGAAATGGCAGGAAGTCGCAAAAGAAAAAATACCACGAACCTTTCACTCACCTGTTCCGCTGACATGTAGGAAACTAACCAGCAACGGTGATTCCATGCACGATAGTTCATTTTTGATCTCTGTAACAACAATGAGAGCCAACTTAGATCTCAGGGACTAACTTGCAGTAATGAGTACAAACATTGGAAATAGATTAATCCAAGTCAGAGTGGATGAATACAAGTGAGCCAGTAATTGTTCTTCAAGTTTAACCAGAGGTCGCACCTAACAAAGCCAAAGTCCAAACTACCACATAACCCCCCNAATTACCAAAATAATTGAATTATGACATTAGTAGGAACAACTTGGACATTAATACATCCAAGTCATTCAACTACAACACTTGGTATGAGCCCACCTATTCCGGCCTCAGTGGGCAGAATTATCTCAGTGAAGCTTGTGAACTGAACAAGTTGTCAACATGTGCACATTGGTTCAGACAGCACAAATATTCCACACAAAAAAAGTAGATTTCCGGGAATGATAAAGCTTTTTTTTTTTTTTAAAGACCCATCTGTCAGAAAATTATCATACGTTTTCTATGATAGAACCAAAGTACTTCAAGAACAGATATAAATATGAACCAGTAATTCTCGAGAGAATCCGTGGAAACATTCCTAGTATCAATGATAGCCACCTTGTAATATAACACTCAAATATTGATCCACCAATAGTCTATATGTATGCAGTTTTCACGGTATGATCCAAAATAAGACCTCAGCCAGTTTTTTCACTAACTCGGATTCTCTTTCCATAATCTCTTGCAGATTTGAACAATTTCCAGCAATCATCTTGATCACCCACCTCCTATCAGTAATTAACAGTAATAAGCATCTCGAACTACTGATCATTGAAAGGGTAAAATAAAAATTCATTTCAAATTAACTCCCAGAAAAGACAAACACCAACTTCCAAGAAACGATTAAAAAAAGTTGTATTAACCTCAATTAGAGAAATATGTGTGTCACTACTTTCTTTTTTCTTTTTCTGTGATGCCTTACTAGCTTATGTTCAAATCCAAGTAGCGTATTTTTCTCCGCGGATGACTGATCATTGAAAGGGTAAGATAAAAATTCATTTCAAACTAACTCCCAGAAAAGACAAACATCAAGTCACCAACTTCCAAGAAACGACCGAAAAACAGTTGTATTATGTGCGTCATTATTTTCTTGTTTCTTTTTCTATGATGCCTCACTAGCTTATGTTCCGATCCAAGTAGCATTGGGCAAATTGAACCTTAATCCCCCCCCCCCCCCAAAAAAAAAAACGCCCCTTCGCTCTTAAAATTCAATTTTTTTCTTTCATACCTAAATTTACATACAACTGGAGCATGTGACTCTAAACATTCCCCAAAAATCATAATCACAAAAAGGGGATTTGAGACCGCAGATATGCCAATTCATCATATGCCATTACCATGCTTCATCATTAACATCCAAGCATGAGCTTATTGTAAACAGGTTTTCAAAGTTCGATACGATAAAAACAATCTTGAGCGACCAGAGATAGCAAAAGAGAGTGAATTGAGAGGTTCATCCATGTAACAGAATGGACACACAAACCAATAATTAAAAAGAATTTGCGCATAGCAGGCGCTTAGTGCACCGGGCTGCCCTTTTTACATATGAGAAGAGAGGTATGTTACCTTTGGCTCCACGTTTGTTCACTTTTAGGTGAATGCGAGAGAACCGCAGCTGAAAAGATAAGCTCATTCATGAACATGGACAAAGACTGCTTCTTTGACAAAACTAGCTTCCTGGGGGAAAAAACTTTATATGGTCAGGACTAAAAAGTTTCTACTGATCTTTTGCCGATATATATCATGCGCTTTAACTCACAAAAGAAAGACTTCTTTAAGGATGTTAAACAGACACCATAGCTCTATGAGTCAACCATTAAATTTCGCTTTTGTTAAAAAAACTCAAACCATTAACGCTCGCTATTTCCATTATCGTGGAGTCTTGTATTGTCCTTCAGACTAAAAAAAATACATTCTGCTCCGGAGCTACATTTTCAAGATCAGATATCCATAGAAGGTATGTATCTGGTCAAAAAGCTATTGACAGCTGTCACCATTTACAACGAACTGAAAAAACAAAACTTTTATGTGTTCAAAACAAACCTGGAATTCCACGCTGAGCCAAAATCACTACTTAGAAGCAAAAGTGCCCTGCTGTGCTTCATCAATTCACTTTCGAGACTAAGTGGAGAAGATGAGGGACAAGTTGAAGCACTTTTATCATCTCTCTCGTTGTAAATGCTATGGTACACTTTATAACTTTTATATGCATCCACAAATGCATTTTTAGCCGCAACATAAAGCGGAAAGAGAACCCTAGTTGAGATGCCCAGCTTATGATCCCTAGCCCAGAAAATTGTCTCAAAACTTGACTTTGGCACAGAACCAACAGATGTTGAAGGAGTCCCAATATCCTCATTTAATGCAGAAAATTGGGATGGGTGAATGAACCCTATTTCATCACTGGAAACAGGAGATGCATGTCAGATTGCTAATGACAGCATCACTCTTGAACTCAACATCTCAATAAGAGTAAAAATAAATAATAAGAAATATGCAGATGTAATATGTATAGTTAAAAAAATGCTAGGGAGAAGAGTACAAGAACAAAAGTTTATCACCTTATCTGAAAGGAATAATTGAGTGACTATTTGGGAACATTCTTAAATAGAGATATCTTACAACAACAACAACAATTATGCCTTAGTCCCAAACAAGTTGGGGTTGACGATATAGATCCTCATTTCTTTCTGTGAGCTCAACTCATATCATCATCATTACAAAAACAGCAGTTCCTTCTTTCTTGTTATGATTTTTAAGCAATAGAGCTTTCTTTGAGAAAAGAGGAAAATTCCTTATCGTAATACTACATTTAAGCAATGACATCCTATCCAAATGTACAAGTTGAAATGATTTAAGTGCTTCAAAAATAAAGAAAACACCGCACTACGTTTCAAAAAGATGTATAGTACAACAAAAGTACGCTAATGTCTGAAAATGTTTGTATAGCCTAGAAATCTACAGCTCTGAACAACAAATGGTTTATCACACTCAGATGACTCATGGGCTTCCATTGTTGGACCATCGTTGGTAGCTCATGAGACAGTTCTCCAAAAATTACATCACTCCACTAGCCATATTGTTCAGAAATAGAAGTTAAGAGACAGTTGTACCAGGTTTATATGACGCTACAGTAGACACTCCAACCATGGTCTTATTGATTATTGATTCAACAAAACAAAGAAAATAATGGAATATTATCATTGAAATAACCATCAAAATTGCGTCCATATACAGAGAGGATGAGACTTACATTAGAGGATCAGACTCCAATATGCCCTCTAATTGATTCAGAAGCTCCAATGGACCAGGCTCGTCCATCTAGAATTGGTTTCTAACTACAAGAGCTGTTTATTCCCCAAATGTACGCCGATTCCTAGAATTGGCTGCTGACTCCAAGACTATAAAGAAGTGGATAAAGTATTAGAGTTGCATAGGGAGATATAATTTAAATTATGAGACAACTTCTAAAAGCAAACTATTTAAGGGACCTATAATTGAGGATTGGCTCGAAAACTCAGCATTCACAATGATCCAAAATGCTCAGACTCATGAACAATTTAGCACATATAAAAGAATAAACGAAAAAGCTACATGAAGGCGAGGTGGCAACCACATCTGTCAAAATTCCCAAAATAACAGATACAATTTAGGAACACTATTGCACCCGCTATTTATTCATTAGTTTAAGATGAACTGATACTTTGGAATTTCAATTTTTGCAACTGCAAAACTAGCATACACTGTCAGTGTTCTACACTTATCAGTCATTATTAAGGAAAATATTCTTCTTTTTATAGGAACAGATTAACAGAAAACTATTGCACCTTGGTTTCAATCCAACTAGAAGAGCAACACAGCCTAAATATTCTCCTAATGATTTGAGTTTTCATATTTTCTTAAAAACAATAAGTCAAGTAAGACTTGAGGCCAAATCAATCTCTCTGATAAAGTGAAACACAAGTACAATATATGCCAATTTCTTCAGCATAAATTTCTTTTTAGTACTGTGATTTACTAATTCATATAAAGTGTCATCCACTATCATAAACAATGTCCAATAAGGACGCTTATGGAATTAACAATATAGCAAAAAAGAATTAATTGGATTCCATTTTCAAAAGAAAAAACTTACAAAATTGCCTCAAGGAGAGAGCTTGTGAGCAAGATTTAAGGCTTCTGGGATTTGCACAGATGTTTCAGATGAAAGCAAGGATTTTTCTGCCTCATTACAGGACATCTTCTTTCTTTATTTCTCACTGTTTATTATGGTTTTTTATTTTTTTTAAAAAAAATCAAACAGATTTTAATACTTGAAAGTTATAAACAAATACCTGAAACACCAAAAGATTTTTTAATTTTTTTTATGTTTGGGCGTGAGGGTAGATTTGATTTGGACGGCCCAGATTCATAGGCCCAATAGATCCACGTCTTTCTCTTACAGCTCTAGCATTTGGTTTAGGCCTAAAATACAAAATTGACCGGTCTGTTGAAACTAATTGCATTTTTTAGCCAAAAAGTGTGTGCAGGACGGATCTAGCCTATTGAATATGGGTTCCCGTGAATCCAATAACTTTTGCATATACCCCATTACTCTTCAATCAATCTTGGGGGCACCAATGGTTAATACCTGTGATGTCTCCTTCTGAAGGACTCGTATACAAGCCACACCCCAAACCTGCATTCACGAGTCCAATATATGATTCACTAACTATTCATAAATATTTGATTGTGAACTCAGTTACTTATTGTATATTTATTTAAAGTCGTTATAGGAAACCATAAACTTTAAATCTTGTATCCCTATATATATATATATATGTATGGTCTAGAGCTTTGACATGATCTAAGGTTTTTGTGTTCTCCGGCACAAGTTTAATAGATGGAGTTGAAATTTGAGGTAATCTTTTCATTAAAAATGAGGGTTATTAGGTGGATTAATCTCATTATACTAAACCAAGGTCTTGTTTGATATCTTTATATGTGGATGTGAATATGTTATTGCATTTTTGCTAGTTTTGGAGTGTCACTTTCTGGATAAATTCATTTTACTATTGTTAGTATAAGATTAAGGATTGTACTATTGTAGTTAACCTCAACGACTAGGACAAAGACCTCCATCATATTTAATATTCAAATTGTGATATTAAATAGTTCTTACCTATTGTTCGACTGTCGTTTTTCTCATTTTTTCCTCCGACCGCCGCTGCCCTAGCTTTCTGGCAATGTCCAAAAGGAGCAAGTTCCAAAAAAAAAAAATTCAATTCTTATTTGGTGTTATAGCCGTCAATGGTTGTTGTCCTCCTTTGATCACAGAAACTGTTCATTTCATTTAATTACTAGTACAAGTTATTCTCGTGAAGCTAGCCAATTGTAATCCTTCAATCCCCCAACCCCCTACCCCACCCAAAGGAAGTAAGAAGAAGCTTTTTAAGAGAAATAAGAGAAAAATGTCTAAAGGTTGTGACCTCTTATTTTTGAACTTGTTATGAAATAAAGCAATTTAATAAAATAAAATAACAATAAGAAAAGTTAGGTTAAGAACAAATGTAGTAGAATTCTTTCTTTTCTTTTTCTTGGTGTGTTCTTTACCAATATAAATTGTCATGCTTTTATAGGAAAGAAAAGGTAACTTAAAATCTATCTTGCATAGTGTAAAGATAGATATGTTGTAGGAAAATCTATCTTCACACTATTTACATCATGGAAATATATCCATACACTATTTACAACAATCCCCTTGGATTTTTCATGTAAAACGAAAAAAATGACTCATAGACCTCACTAGGAAAAAATCCATTGCGAAAAAATCCTAATAAAAGAAAAGAGTACATAATTATTTTCAATATGCATTACTTTATGTCTCATTAAAAACCTTACCAGGAAAACCTAGTGGGATAAAACCTTGGTTAAGGAAAAAAGAGTGCAACACATATTTTACCACCCCGATGAAAAAATCACTTAATGTCTCGAAGACGGCGCATTCCAATCTTATATATCAGCTTTTCAAATATTGAGATTGGTCATGCCTTAGTGAACACATCAGTTAAATTATCACTTGAACGAACTTGTTGACATCTATTTCACCATTCTTCTAAAGATCATGAGTGAAAAAGAATTTGGGTGAAATGTATTTTGTTCTATCTCCTTTGATATATCCGCCTTTCAATTGAGCTATGCATGCATCATTGTCTTCATACAATATTGTTGGAATATTCTCTTTCGAAGAAATACCACATTTTTGTTGAATGCGTTGAGTTATCGATCTCAACCAAACACATTCTCGACTTGCCTCGTGAATGGCTATTATCTGTGCATGATTTGAAGAAGTAGCAACCATAGTTTGTTTTGTCGAACGTCATGATATGGTTGTACCTCCACTTGTAAATAAATAGCATGTCTGAGATCGACCTTTGTGTGGATCAGAGAAATATCGTGCATCCGCATAACCAATCAATGATGACTTGGATTCATTTGAATAAAATAAAGGTATCTGAATATATGCTTAATACCGTTCTAGTGTCTTTGTGTTGGCGAAGAATTAAATCTTGCCAATAAGCTTACTGAGAAAGTTATATCTGGTCGGGAATTATTGGCAAGATACATCAATGCTCCAATTGCAATAAGATAAGGTACTTCAGCACCAAGAAGCTCTTCATCATTTTCATGAGGTCGGAATGGATCTTTCTTTATATCAAGTGATCTCACAACCATCGGGGTACTCAATGGATATGCTTTATTCATATAGAATCGCTTTAAAATCTTTTCGGTGTATGTTAATTGATGGACAAATATTCCATTTTTCATATACTCAATTTGTATACCAAGACAAAATCTTGTCTTTCCAAGATCTTTTATTTCAAATTCTTTCTTCAAACAGCCTACTGCTTTTGGAAGCTCTCCAGGAGTTCCAGTGATATTTAAATCATCAACATACACGACGATTATAACAAATTCAGATCCAGACCTTTTTATAAAGACACAAGGACAAATTGGATCATTTTTGTACCCTTCTTTCAACAGGTACTCACTTAGGCGATTATGCCACATGCGCCCTAATTGTTTCAATCCATATAAGGATTTCTGAAGCTTTATTGAACATCTCAAAAACTTTTATATGGTTCAGGCACTTTAAATCCTTCAGAAATTTTCATAAAGATTTCATTGTCTAATGAGCCATACAAATAGGCTGTGACAACATCCATTAGATGCATATCAAGTTTTTCATGCATTGCCAGATTTATAAGATACCTGAACCTAATAGCATCCACCACAGGAGAATATGTCTCCATATAATCAATGCCGGATCTTTGCGAAAATCCTTGTGCCACAAGTTGTGTTTTATATTTAACGACTTCATTTTTATCATTTCGTTTTCGCACAAAAACCCATTTGTACCCTACTGGCTTTATACCTTCAGGTGTTCAGACTATGGGACCGAAGACTTTACGTTTTCCAAGTGAAGTTAACTCTTCCTGTATAGCGTCTTTCCATTTTGGCCAATCATTTATCTGTCTACATTCATCGACAGATTTTGGTTCAAGATCCTCATCTTGTTGCATTATTTCAACAGTAACATTATAACCAAAAATGTTATCGATAACAATATTTTTTCAATTCCATCTTTTTCCCATTGAGACGTATGTCGACGCCCCCTTTTTCTATGGGTCGAAATCGGGTATACGACATTGGGAGGACAACTCTATTCCCTTTCGAGAATTGGGTTTTGGAATTTTGAAGAGTCGCCACCTAATGATTATAGTGCATTAGGACACTTTAAGAAAGTTTTGAGTTGGAAAAACCAGAGTTCGGGTAAGGGCTAGAAATTATCTCGAGGGGAAGGTGTTAGGCACCTCTCAAGATCCACTAGTGTGGTCCCGGCCATGTTACAATTGTGACTTTACAAGTAAACAATCAAGGCTCAAATAAGGACTTGCATACAACATTGCAATTAGGTTGAAAACTTTTGAAGGTAAGTAGAGAGGACAGGAATTTATGGAAAAAAAAAGATTTGAATGGTTTCACGAGAAGAAATGAAAGCAAATAAGGGGAGGGGGGGTCCTAGGTTTATGATTAATATGGATCACTTCAATGCAATACCCAGCAATCACTCCTCAAAAAAGAGGGGTCGCACGTGATATTAGCGCATCGGTCATCATCTCCATATCTACCATTCCCACCTCGTTAAGGTATTAAAGTGCGGAATAGTATCGTTACTTATTTCATGCTATTGCCCGTCCCAATCCTATCAGTACCGGAGGCATATGGGACTACTAATCCTAAAGGGGAGGGAGCTGGGGCTTTTGTAGTTTTTTAAAAAGGATAAAATTCTAAGGCGACATTCAAAACATATACAACAAGTATTGGGAAAGCAAGTAAGCAGATATGACTCAAATAAACCTCCTTAAATCAGAGAAAATCATATAGTTTAGCATGTCTTACACGTACTGATTAGGTCTGAATTAAACTTAAACATTAAGGCAGGCTGATTTATCACATATTTTCAGATAAGAAGTCCGAATTAGGCCTGCCTGCTGGTTGTAATTATCAAAGACTGATGCAATTATAGTTTTTACCCTAAAGCTTGCCTAGGTGTTAAACGGAACCTATAGGCATGATATCTATTAGCTTCAGAAATAAATAAGTAAACTGATTGTAGAAAAAAGAATTGTCAATTACAGGGACAAAAGATCTGCAGGCGTTAAACATTATTGCTACTGATTTTAGGCTTATAAGCGAGTTGACGATTCAGGTTTGGTTGACAGCTCCTATAGGCATGCTTTCTAAGCGTTACTGATTTTAAGCTTTGTTATTGTCATGCAGAAATCCTATAGGCAGGTCATCTATATGCAGTTAGTTATTTAAATCTTATAAACAGGTTTGCCTAGTGACAGATGCATATGCAAAATGCAGGAAGTCCTATAGGCATATTACCTATATAATATGAAGAATTTCAAAAACGACTTATAGACATGGTATCTATATGAAGTGCAGAAAAACCTATGAACATGGTATCTACATGAAATGCAGAATTTCAGAAGTATAGGAATTCCCTATGAACATGGTATCTACATGAGATGCAGAATTTCAGAAGTATAGTAATTCCTTATGAACATGATATCTACCCCTTTGCATGCAGGACTGACCTCCCTTTTTCACTAACACCCCAGCAGTTTATTACAAGATTATTACAGACTAGAATGAATAAGAAAAAGATAAGAAATATATCAGAAATTAAAGATTCCAACTAAGGAGAGCCTAATTCAGACCCCAGGTCTG